ATTGGTCGAAGTGGCACGTCTTTCTTATGTATTTTCGGTACGCCATAGAGCACAGGGCGGCACGAGCCAACGGGTCGGATCCGGTCGTAATCTATATTGAGTATTTTTCCAGCCTTTTTGTATCGCAATAGGTATGCCTGCAAGGCGCGTTCATCCAGGTAAGTGCGGTCATGCGTTTCCGTCGGTCCCAGGAGTTGAAACTTCGATGCATCAGCCAGAATAGCATTCATCTTGTCATTGTAATCACTTCGCTGCATTATCACCACTCCATTCCCTTTGTCCGGCCTGCTGATTATTATATCTTTGTCATTCTTTATTTTCCTGATGGCTGCCATATGCTTGTCGTTGAGGGGATAATCGGTTTTATCTGCTTTACTGTTACTAAACTCTTCTGCAAGATTCGCCAACGCTGCTTGACACGTATCCCTCTTGGCATCACTCACTGGTACGCAGCGCTCCAATTGATCATTTGTTAGTTCGAATTCTGCCTGCACAATCTCCTTGTCCATTCTGGAACTAGGGGGGACTCCAAACTTCAAGCCCCTGCACAGTACGTCTTTTTCAATATTAGTTAGCATAACTCCGGCCAAGTTGAGTAGGTGGGAGTGTTTTAATTCGCTTGAGCCCTTCTCATAGCGCATCTCCCTCCTGAGTGCATCGTCAAACTTACTTTTGATCCGGCATTGTAATCTTGAGGAGGTCTGGTTGATGAGTTTCGCGAACCTGAAGCGGTCCAGCACGCTAAGGCTCCGATTGACTTCGTGAAGAACACGGCGGTACTCGAGGAGAAAGTGTTCCAAGTCAGCGGTGGTCCTCTGTCGACAAAAGAAGCACATCAAGGTGCTACGGCTGTTCAAGCTGCAACCGGACTGACAACTTTATCACGTGTTTGTTCTGGTACTGCATTCCCCTCAAGTGTTGTTTCCCGCATTTTTCCACTCCTCCATACATTCTTATGGTAGTGTAGTGTGAACTTGAGGCGCGTAAGAATATTCTTGCTGATTCTCTACCCCCAGTATAAATTCTGGCTTCGTTTTCGTTCTTGCTCATTCCCATGTAACCACTGATGAAAATGGGTGAAAAGCTTTTGGTATTATGAAACTGACAACCTTGTTGTTGTGTGTATATAAATTTTGTTCGCCTACCTCTCTATTTATATAATTATATATATATATAGCTTGCTGTCTACAGCATTGGGTATCACGCTCCTCGGCTTTTGCCTTGTTGAGCACTCTCAGTAGGCTGCTCTAGTGCTGCTGCATCGCGCAATGCCCGCTATTTTTGTAGTTTGAGCACTCTGGCGCTAGAGCGACGAGCTATCTTAATGTCTGTGGTGCCTCCTTTGCACCATGGCTGGTAGCTCGGCCTATTTAGCTCGTAGCTGTACTGATGAGGCCTTTATGGCCGAAACAGCTTGCTGTCTACAGCATTGGGTATCACGCTCCTCGGCTTTTGCCTTGTTGAGCACTCTCAGTAGGCTGCTCTAGTGCTGCTGCATCGCGCAATGCCCGCTATTTTTGTAGTTTGAGCACTCTGGCGCTAGAGCGACGAGCTATCTTAATGTCTGTGGTGCCTCCTTTGCACCATGGCTGGTAGCTCGGCCTATTTAGCTCGTAGCTGTACTGATGAGGCCTTTATGGCCGAAACAGCTTGCTGTCTACAGCATTGGGTATATATATATATACTCAATCTGCGGACAGCATGCTGTTTCGTTCTTTTTGAACTCATCAGCGCAGCACAGAGAAAATGAGGCCGAACCTGATAGCAATGGAAATAAAAAATTTCCAATCAGGCCCGAACGTACCTTGCCAGAGTGCTCAAACTGACAAGTCAGTGAGCTCTGCATAACGCAAACAGCAAAGGCACTACCCCACGCAAGAGTGCTCAACTGCTACAAGAGCAGGAGCGAAATACTCAATCTGCGGACAGCATGCTGTTTCGTTCTTTTTGAACTCATCAGCGCAGCACAGAGAAAATGAGGCCGAACCTGATAGCAATGGAAATAAAAATTTCCAATCAGGCCCGAACGTATCTTGCCAGAGTGCTCAAACTGACAAGTCAGTGAGCTCTGCATAACGCAAACAGCAAAGGCACTACCCCACGCAAGAGTGCTCAACTGCTACAAGAGCAGGAGCGAAATACTCAATCTGCGGACAGCATGCTGTTTCGTTCTTTTTGAACTCATCAGCGCAGCACAGAGAAAATGAGGCCGAACCTGATAGCAATGGAAATAAAAATTTCCAATCAGGCCCGAACGTACCTTGCCAGAGTGCTCAAACTGACAAGTCAGTGAGCTCTGCATAACGCAAACAGCAAAGGCACTACCCCACGCAAGAGTGCTCAACTGCTACAAGAGCAGGAGCGAAATACTCAATCTGCGGACAGCATGCTGTTTCGTTCTTTTTGAACTCATCAGCGCAGCACAGAGAAAATGAGGCCGAACCTGATAGCAATGGAAATAAAAATTTCCAATCAGGCCCGAACGTACCTTGCCAGAGTGCATATATATATATATATAGCAGAGCTCACTGACTTGTCAGTTTGAGCACTCTGGCAAGGTACGTTCGGGCCTGATTGGAAATTTTTATTTCCATTGCTATCAGGTTCGGCCTCATTTCCTCTGTGCTGCGCTGATGAGTTCACAAAGAACGAAACAGCATGCTGTCCGCAGATTGAGTATTTTCGCTCCTGCTCTTGTAGTAGTTGAGCACTCTCATGTGGGGTAGTGCCTTTGCTGTTTGCATTACGCAGAGCTCACTGACTTGTCAGTTTGAGCACTCTGGCAAGGTACGTTCGGGCCTGATTGGAAATTTTTATTTCCATTGCTATCAGGTTCGGCCTCATTTCCTCTGTGCTGCGCTGATGAGTTCACAAAGAACGAAACAGCATGCTGTCCGCAGATTGAGTTTTTTCGCTCCTGCTCTTGTAGTAGTTGAGCACTCTCATGTGGGGTAGTGCCTTTGCTGTTTGCATTACGCAGAGCTCACTGACTTGTCAGTTTGAGCACTCTGGCAAGGTACGTTCGGGCCTGATTGGAAATTTTTATTTCCATTGCTATCAGGTTCGGCCTCATTTCCTCTGTGCTGCGCTGATGAGTTCACAAAGAACGAAACAGCATGCTGTCCGCAGATTGAGTATTTTCGCTCCTGCTCTTGTAGTAGTTGAGCACTCTCATGTGGGGTAGTGCCTTTGCTGTTTGCATTACGCAGAGCTCACTGACTTGTCAGTTTGAGCACTCTGGCAAGGTACGTTCGGGCCTGATTGGAAATTTTTATTTCCATTGCTATCAGGTTCGGCCTCATTTCCTCTGTGCTGCGCTGATGAGTTCACAAAGAACGAAACAGCATGCTGTCCGCAGATTGAGTATATATATATATATATATATATTACGGGAGATAGATAAATAATAAGACAACTAAATAAGGCATACTTGTCCCGTAGAGGCCTAAAAGGCACGTGCCAATCGTATGGATACGACATATCCCCCCGCTTACACGGAAAAGAACACGTCCTCGTGTTATAAGTAACGTAATAAATTAGACTAAGATTATGGCTAACAATTTAACTAAACGAGTGCAGGTCACAATTTGAGTTCCTATCAAAAACTGTTCAAAGACTAGCTGTAATATTGGCCACAACCAATCCAGTCAATACCACTGAAATCCTTACTCGTGCCAGACGGGACTCCCAAACAGCTGAGGTGGATGGCGGGAACGCGGGGTTCGCCTTTCCATCACGCCAACTGGCGGAGCACTGTCGAATACCCGAGCGGTGTTCTCCTCGTCTCGGGCGGCGGCATCAGTGGCATCAGGCTGGTAGGACGGAGTCAGGGTGGATGCCATGGGCTGCGGTGGGTCCGACTCATCTTGTTCGTGAACCTCCTGCAGCCGACTCGGTCGATGATGACAACTTTTCAGCCGGTTGACGTGCACTATCAGCCGACGTGCCGTGGGCTCAGACAGCTTGATGCGGTAGGTGAAATTTTGGAATTTTTGTCTGAATTTGAGTTCACCATATTGTACAGGGCAGGTCGATCGCACGCTATCGCTGATGCATTGTCACGCCGCCCTGACGCTTCGACGACGCTGTTCGTAGGGGCCGTGAACAACGACGTTGGCAACATCCCCACACCCCTCATCCGCCGTTTCAACTGGCCGTGGTCAAGATGGGAAACGGAACAAGAGAAGGACCGAGATCTCGCCCAAGTAGTGTCCTGGCTAGGTATGGACTTTCCGCCTTGCCCACAGGACATGATGGGTAGCAGTCCTGAGGTACGTATTTTGTGGAAAAATCATGAAATGCTGGTTCATCATGAGGGGGTGTTGTGCCGTCGTTGGGAGGACCCTTGCCCCGGTAAGCCGTCTATCTTGCAAGTTGTTGTTCCCCGGCATTTACGTTCATTGGTTTTGCAAGAGTATCATGACCAGGGGGGACATACGGGTTCTACACGCCTGCAGAAGAAACTGACGCAACAATTTCACTGGGTAGGCATGAAGAAAGATGTCTTGGATTGGGTTGCAAGTTGTTCTTCCTGTAGCCAGTTGAAGCGTCCCGTTGGCAGAGGGTCTGGCGCTCCAATGCAGTCTTCCTGGACGGGGTATCCTTTTGAGCGAGTAGCAATGGATTTGATCCCCAATTTTCCGGAGACAGCGGAAGGGAACCGCCATATTTTGGTTGTAGTTGACTATTTCACTAAATGGGTGGAAGCTTTTCCGCTTCCGAGAATGGATGCTTCCACTATTGCTTTGTTGTTTGTCAATGAGTTTGTGTCACGTTTTGGTGCTCCTGATCGGTTGCATACCGATCAGGGCAAAAACTTTGATGGCTCTCTGTTTCGCAGTGTTTGCTTTCTACTTGGCATAGATAAGACCAGGACAACTGCGTACCATCCACAGAGTGACGGTCTGGTTGAAAGATTCAACCAGACGCTTGAGCGTGGCCTGGCGCACTATGTCTGCCGGAATCATCGAGATTGGGACATCAAGTTGCCAGCCTCCTTGATGGGATACCGCTCGACGCCGCAGACTAGTACCGGCTACAGTCCAAGCTATCTGCTCTTTGGTCGGGAGCTATGCCTACCTCAAGACTTGGCATTTGGATTACCGCCAGGAGCAGCATCCGCAGTAGCGTCACAGCCGGAATTCGTGAGTGCTCTCCGCCGACGCTTGGAGGACGCTCATGCGCAGGTTCGGGAGCACTTGGGCAACGTGCACCGCTATCAAGCGCATATCCATGATCGCAACGCTAAGGCCGTGACGTTTGCAGCTGGTGACGCAGTGTGGCTTCTGGTGCCGGCCATTCCGACGGGTACAACCGCCAAGTTTTCTAGACTGTGGCACGGACCGTACCTAGTCGAGGAGAAGCTCTCCGCCGTCACCTACCGCATCAAGCTGTCTGAGCCCACGGCACGTCGGCTGATAGTGCACGTCAACCGGCTGAAAAGTTGTCATCATCGACCGAGTCGGCTGCAGGAGGTCCACGAGCAAGATGAGTCGGACCCACCGCAGCCCATGGCATCAACCCTGACTCCGTCCTACCAGCCTGATGCCACTGATGCCGCCGCCCGAGACGAGGAGGACACCGCTTGGGTATTCGACAGTGCTCCGCCAGTTGGCGTGATGGAAAGGCGAACCCCGCGTTCCCGCCATCCACCTCAGCTGTTTGGGAGTCCCGTCTGGCACGAGTAAGGATTTCAGTGGTATTGACTGGATTGGTTGTGGCCAATATTACAGCTAGTCTTTGAACAGTTTTTGATAGGAACTCAAATTGTGACCTGCACTCGTTTAGTTAAATTGTTAGCCATAATCTTAGTCTAATTTATTACAAATATAAAATCTTGTAGGACGCATCACGCAGCTTCATAAGTAAAAAATTGGTTGTGAGCAACACTGGCTCACACTCAAATAACTGCTTTTCACCAGAAAAATATTATATTTCAACGTTTCGGTCATGAAATAACCATCATCAGGAATGAAGTGGGCACACCGGTTAGGATGGGTTAATATACGAGGAGCGCTGCAAACTGATAACAAATCACACCCGCATGCACTATGACGAGAGAGAGAACAAAAGGACAAAACATCACCAAAAAAAACCCAGGTATAGAAATAACGCAATACGCGACAACTCTAAATATGGCACAGGTACAAGCAACAAACAGAATGTACATGTGCACTAGGTGCGTGCAGACATGTAATTGCAGGCGCTAGAGGGCCAGAAATATGTACAAGGCCTCACCAGAGAATTCACAGGAGGTCCCACCCTGCGTTATTGTTTATGCTGGGGCTCGTGTCGCGAATTTGTATTGCTTCGGGTATTCTCCTCCTGGCCCGATCCGACTCAGTGGCAAGGACGCGAACCTCTGTGAATGCCGACTCGCCAAGCGGCAGTACCTCGCCGCCATGGTGAAGTCGGTAGTGCTCGCCCAGGGCTTTTCCAGCCTCGTCGCCTCGGGGCAGCGGGATCCACCCACTTACGGCAGCAAGGTCCAGTGAGGCTGGACTTAGTGACGCTGTTGGAAAGCCTTGCATTCTTGTAGATTATCTGTACATTTAGATTGTATTTGTTTAATCGTCTTTATTTTATATCTTCACACAAGGCCTGAGGTCTCCCTTATTTGGTCTACGCTGTTATTTCCCCACATGGCTCCCGCTCTTTATGCAACTTTTCGTACACATATTTATTACGGTTTGATACGCTATTGCATGCGGGACCAGCAATCTCGTGGCCATGGACTTCCATGGCCGCAACCAGGGAGTAGTACAGTAAACTACTCCCTGGCCGCAACTAGATACTATTGCGATGACTTTCCTTCTCTCACTCTCTCTTGCCTTCCGCCTTCAGGCGGAAGCTTCGGCTTTCGTCTGTCTTGCCTTGTGCTCTCATATCGTCTCTTGAACTAAGTAATTATTAGTTAGCTCCGTTGAAGATGTGAGTAAACCTGAACGCTGGTGTGAGTGTACGTGTCTGTATATGCCTGAGTGTGTGTTTGAGAGTATGTCTAGGTATATGTGCGTGCGTGCGTAAGAGTAATTCTGTTGGTGGACTCTCTCCAAGTGGCCACCACTGCACGGCCTTGTATGTGAAGGTTTAATAAGTTAGTTCATGTCGACGACGCAGCCTTGGGGTCTTACCCCGGGCCGTCCGGATACGACATTTACAGCTAGTCTTTGAACAGTTTTTGATCGGAACTCAAATTGTGACCTGCACTCGTTTAGTTAAATTGTTAGCCATAATCTTAGTTTAATTTATTACGTTACTTATAACACGAGGACGTGTTCTTAAGGCACGTGCCAATCGTATGGATACGACACTTGGACCTCATCGTCACAAATTCACCCCAGCAGTTCCTCTCCGTTGACTCAGCCGCTCCACTGGGTAGCTCTGAACACGTGCAGCTCATCTGTCGAGTCCGTCTCCCTGTCACGTCCAAAAATCCAACCCTACAACATCACTTCCTCCCAACATCTACCCCTACACCCCCAGGTTATAATTTCAAGTTTGTGCCACGTTGCGTATGGGATGACCTGAATGCTGAACTTGCTTATGTCCACTGGAAATGTCACCTCCGCAGCTCGCACGTGGATGACGCTCTTTCGTTTTTCCACTCTATTCTTAGCAGGGCCATGGAGAAGCACCTCGGGTACTTCTCCCGGCGTCCACTCTTCCCCTCATGCCGACGTTTAGGTCAGCCACCTTGGGTTGATGCCCCCCTCCGTGCCGCCATTAAGGCAAAGCACGATTTCTACAGTGTGTGTAAGAAATACCCAGCCCAGCTTAACATGCATGTATATCGATCTCAACGGAACTTGGTGAAGAGTCTGACTCGATCGAAATGACGGGGATACATTCGGTCCGTACAAGCTACGCTGCAGGACAAAAACCGCCCATCACTGTTTCAGTTCGTGAGCAAATTAAAAAATCATAAAGTATCTCGTGCCATCCCGACACTCACCATTAGTTCTACGCAGCAGGCTACTACCTCTTCAGCTAAAGCCACTGCATTGAACTCTCAGTTCGCCTCAGTGGCCGTGCCTGATGACCCTTCTCTACCCATTCCCCCCATTGCCGAGGAGTCGGGTGAGGCTGGCCGCCTCACATCTGTCTTTTCTACGACTGCTGCCATCCGACGTTACATTCGAAAGCTCCCGTCTGACAAGGCGCCAGGCCCAGACGGCATCACTAATCTGGTATTAAAGTCCCTTGCGCCCTCAATAGCATACCCCTTATGTCTGATTTTCAACCTATCATTCCGCACTGGTCGTTTTCCCTCTGCATGGAAAGCAGCTAATGTTATACCGATCTACAAGAAAGGGTCCCGCCACGAAGCATCAAACTACCGTCCGATATCTCTACTGTCCTGTGTTTCCAAACTCTGTGAGCGCGTTTTCTACGACCAATTGTACTGTCATGTCTCGTCACGTTTGAGTTCAGCTCAGTCCGGATTTCGCAGAGGCGATTCTACCACCCTCCAGCTGACGCGCTTGGTGCAATTGGTGTGTCGACATCGGGATGCTGGAGATCTAGTCGGGATCTGTTTTTTCGATCTTGCCAAGGCCTTCGATACCGTCTGGCTTAGGGGGCTCTTGGCCAAGCTTCGTGGATCATTTACTGTAGACGGCAATCCCCTGCTATGGCTGACATCTTACCTAACTGGGCGAACGCAGTACGTCACGGTACATGGGACGTCCTCAGCCGACACAACAGTACTATCCGGAGTTCCCCAAGGTTCCATCCTCGGCCCCCTTCTTATTGTCTTATACGTCAATGATCTGCCCGCAGCTGCCCCGGGCACATCACTATTCGCAGACGACACAACGCTCCTACGGGCATCTCCTAACATCACTGGCCTGATGAGTAACCTAGCTAACGGGATTCAAAGAGTAATTTCCTGGATGTCGTCTTGGCGGTTATGCCCAATCTGTCTAAAACTAAAATCATGCTCTTTCCTTCTCAGCCTGATGTTCCGCCCCTCCTCCATCCCACTTTCCCCCAGCCTATAGACATAGTCTCCAGCCATAAGCATCTTGGCATTTTCATTGACTCTAATCTTTCATGGGAACCCCACATCGATTACATATGTAAACGATCAAGTTCATCTTTAGGAATCCTCTCTTCTCACTGTTACCATCTCCCAATCTCTTGTAAACTCCTCTTTTACTCAGCTTACCTACGCCCCATTTTTGATTATGCAGATACTGCTTGGGCTGGAATTTCCACAACCCGTGCTGCCAAGCTCAAAATTCAGCACAAAAAAGTTCTAAAAATCCTCCTCCGAAAACCCCGCATGCTCCCATCTTCCACCCTTTATGCCCTTGCTGACACTACCCCTTTGTCTAAGAGACGTAATTCACATCTTGTCACCCTTATCCATTCTCTCAAACTCAATCTGTGTCCACCTCACCTCCACTGTTTCAACTGGTTTTCTTCCCGTAGCACGAGAAACTCCCTTTCCCTTCCGAAACCCAAGTCCTCCTTTCTACTTCACTCTCCCCTTTTCACTGCGTACTCTGCGTGGCTGGCACTTCCCCAAGAAGCTAAGGACCTTTCTTCCCTCCGCCTTTTTAAGAGCCTTGTCGCGCCTTGACTTTGATTTTGTGTTTCTCATTTTGTTGCAATCACTACTTATCCATGCCGGTTCCTTTTTTTTTCTTTTTTTTTTTACTTCTTCTCCTCCCCTTCTCCCTTCCTTGCCGTGGTTGGGTAACACCCTCTCTCTTTGTATTGGCCGGTGTTCTCACTGTGCTATGAGATGCTGTAATAAATAAATAATAAATAAGATCAGGAGCTTTTGTTTAAAAAGTTCAGTGACGCGGTAAATCGAGTTGGCAGCCAGGAGGGGCTGCATCGCGGAACATGGCGGGCTGCCATCAATGCATCGGATCGCCCGGTTTTCCATGGCTTGCAGACGCTGAAGTTGGGTCACGCGAAGGGCTGCAGAGAAGCAGCAGGCACCATATATCATATCCGGCATGACAATAGCCTTTACATACTTGTTATCTTGCGCGAGCTGCGGGAGAGGCATCGACGGGCTCGCCACAAGGCGCCAATCTTCCTCGCAGCTTTGGTCACTATGGTGCTGACGTGTACATCCCAACTCAGGCGGTTGTCAAGAAAGACACCAAGATACCGCGCAGACTTCACTATCGGTAGAGAGGTATCGCAGCACACGATAGAGACCTCAGGCCCGGCATGTTGCGGTGAGATAGTCATTACCTGGCTTTTGGAGGCATTTAAAATTAGGCCGCGTGACTTAAGCCATATGGCGAGATCAGTGACAGCTGAAGAGACGGATTTGGAGACTTCCCCAGCGGAAGCTTTTGAATCATACAGGGCAATGTCGTCTGCGAATTGCACGCTGGGTATTGGCGATGAGACCGATTTCACATCACGGGTGTAGACGTTAAAGAGAACAGGCCCAAAGACGGAGCCTTGGGGCACACCACAGGTGCAGTCAAGAGCACGACTTGTGGCCGAAGCGACCGTAACTTGCTGCCTGCGATCTGTCAGGTAATTCGCGAACCACTTCAGGGCGACACCAGAGATACCAACGTCAAAAAGGTCTTGGCCCATGGTGAGGATACCATGCCGGACTTTGTCAAAAGCCTTGGACATGTCGAGGAGGCACAGCCCCGTTACCAGACCACCGTCCTTCGCCTTCTGCAAGCTGTCCGTGAGAACACAGAGGGCATCCTCAGTGGAGCACTTTTTCCTGAAAGCAAACTGAGAATCAGGTAGGGCATTACTCAAGTCTAGATGGCGAACTAGCTGACGCTGCACCACTCTCTCCAACAGCTTTGAGACAACTGGAAGGAGGGAAACAGGGCGAAAATTGGTGGGGACTGATGGGTCCCAGGTCTTGTAAAGCGGTACAACAGTCGCCAGCTTGAACGCCAAAGGAACCGTGCCAGTGCGGAGGAAAGTGCAAAACAATACTGCTAAACAGTATGCCAATAAATCGGAACACTGCCGCAATAGCGAACCCGGTATGCCGTCACTTCCCGTAGCTTTGCGAGCATCTACCTGCTGAAGGAGACGTTGAACGTCCGATGGGGTTACAGGGGAGAACTCGGTTAGGGAGACAGGCTCTTTGGGGCCACACGGAACGCCGAGATGGTCGGGTCGGTTTGTGTCTGTAACAATAGAGTGGAACGTGTTGCTGATCTCATGGACGTCGCGGCCCGGATCTTGACGGCACCGTGAGCGCCCTGTCACGGCATTGAGAATTTCTTCTGCACGCTTGTACCGTAGGCTACATATGTTTAGGGCGCCGATCTTGAGAGGCGCAGCGGTCTGCGTAGGTGGAGGATGTACTGAAGGTGACTGTGCATGCGGAGTGGCAGGATTCCTAGGGGAAAAGGGTTTGGCAAGAGGGTTCAGCGGCATGAGTGTTCAGGAGGAGATAATTTACAGAAGAAAACTGTATATACAAATAGAGCTCCGATCAGGGTATAATCAGATTCGCATTCAAGCTGAGGACGTGCCCAAAACCGCGATTAACACTCCCTTTGGGCATTACCAATTTAGGGTCATGGGATTTGGTCTCACCAATGCACCGGCAACATTTCAATCCATGATGAATACGATTCTTCAACCATATCTGAGGGAGTTCGTAGTCGTGTTCCTAGATGACATACTCATCTTCAGCAAAACGTGGTCGGAGCATATGCAGCATGTCCGGTCGGTATTGAGCGTGCTCCGGGACAACCAGTTATTTTGCAAACGGTCAAAATGTGAATTTGGCGTGGAGAGTGTGCGGTTCCTGGGACATTGCATCGATGGACTGCACATCGCCCCTGACCCAGACAAGATTGCCGCAGTAAAGGTCTGGCCCGCTCCGACTTCCGTCACAGAGGTGAGGCAATTTCTCGGATTTACGAATTATTTTAGGCGATTCATAGATCAATACTCATCGCTCTCTAAGAACTTAGAGGAGATAACGGGAAAACATGCACGATTCGAGTGGAACAGCTCTCGGCAACATGCCTTTGAATCGCTAAAGCATGCCTTGTTGAATGCGCCCCTATTGCGGCTGGCTGATGTGAACCGACCATTCAGAGTGGTAACAGATGCAAGCGATTTCGCCTTGGGATGTGTTCTTCTCCAAGAACTAGAGGAAGATGCCTGGCATCCAGTGGCTTATGCTAGCCGAAAATTGTCTGCTGCTGAACAGAATTATACAGCTACAGAAAGAGAAACATTGGCCGTAGTGTTTGCGCTGAAGACCTGGCGCATCTACCTCTTTCAACACTTTGAGGTCATTACAGACAACATGGCGGTAGTTTATCTGAAAACAAAACCAAGCATTACAAAGAGAGAGGCGCGATGGGTTGAATTCCTAGCTGACTATGACTACACAGTCCGTCACAGACCCGGCAGAGAGAACCCTGCAGATCCCCTTTCGCGTCGCCCAGATCTCCATGAGAGTAACCTCGTGGAGAATGCAGTACCACGTTTGAATGCTATTGAGTATGCTTTTGCAATGAATGATGACGTGTCCAATACAATATCAGATGCCTACCAGAGAGACAAAGAGCTAACTCCCATCATAGAAAGATTGAAGCATTCTCTCCGAGATAATTTGCATGATCGCTATTATTGGGACGAATCCACTGATCGCTTGTACCTCAAGGCATCCCCCAATAACCGGTTGTGCATACCACAGTGCGGTGTCCGGTTAAAGCTCATTCAAGAACACCATGAGTGTGCAACGGCTGGCCACCCGGGTCGTGATCGAACGTACTTCCGCCTAGCACGTTTTTTTCTACTGGCCCCGAATGGGTCTCGATATTAAGAGATTTGTCAAAACCTGGGATCTCTGCCAGCGAACGAAGGGAGGTCAGCCACGAACAGGGCTTCTCCAGTCACTTCCAATACCTGATAGTCCTTGGCAGGATATCTCAATGGATTTTATTGTTGGATTGCCCCTTACTTCTCGTGGCTTCGACGCAATTTACACCTTTGTGGACCGACTTACGAAATGCGTACATCTTGTTCCAACAAACTCGAAGATTGATGCTAAGGGCAGCGCTCAACTGTACATTCAAAACGTGTTTCGTCTGCACGGGCTGAGCTCGACCATTGTTTCCGATCGCGATCCACGATTCACTGCAGCTTTTTTCAAAGAAGTATTCTCTCAGCTAGGAACTAAATTGGCATTCAGCACTGCTAACCACCCTCAAACGGATGGTTTGACAAAGAGAGTTAACCGGCAAGTGGGAGATGTTCTAAGAGCATTTGTGAACTTGAGACAGGACAATTGGGATTCGCTTCTACCACTCTGCGAGTTTGCAATAAATAGTTCACAACAGTCATCTGTAGCTAATACACCGTTCTATCTGAACTATGGGTTTGACCCTAAGTCCCCGCCTGAATTCATTCTTACGGGAGGGGAAAGGAGTGATTCGGTCGATTGGCTTCATGAGCAGGAAGCCGCACTAAGGATAGCTCGAGATGCAATGCTCGACGCCCAGGCAAGGCAAGCTCTATACGCAGACCAGACGAGAACGCCCAGTGATTTGAAGGTTGGTGATAGCGTTCTTGTCTACAGAGACTTTCTACTGACCCCGGAAGCTCGTGGCCAGCGCTCTCGGAAGTTGCAACCCAAGTGGTTTGGTCCGTATCGTATCCAGGCTAAGATTGGAGCGAATGCTTTTCGCTTGGAACTACCCCGTAAACTTCGCTGCCATCCCGTGTTTAATGTCACTGCTCTTAAACGCTACGAAGAGAACACGATTCCTGGAAGACACCAACCCCCGCCTCCGCCCTTCACAGATCTAGATGGACACACACGCTATGTTGTCGAAGCCGTTTTGAATCACCGACACCGCAGTGGTGAGCAACACTTCCTGGTGCATTGGAAGGGTTACCCCAGCAGCGAAGCTACGTGGGAGCCCGCTGGCAACCTATGTGATGAGTCTGGTCGGAATATTAAACCGCTGCAGAACTATCTAGCCTCACAACGACAGCAGCCTTGATCTTACTGGGCTGAGCCATATGCATCTCTTACTGAGATAGTTAATAATATGTTATAGACTGATATAGTTTTGCGTCATCTCCTTCTGAGAGTGATGAAGTTGAGTTGGATTACACTTCAATGTGGTTATGCATGTGCATGAGTGATTATTTAATATTCCCCTTTCCACAATTGCATCTCCTAACTGGATTGTGTTATCTAATAGAACCTTGGGCTTCCTATGGGGCCGGGAGAGTGTAATAGTTTTACCTTGACACTTCTTGCTTGTCTTATGGTAACACCTTGTGTTCCTACTATTCTCACTCCTGCGGTTCTCGCCTTTCTTTTGCTTTATAACCTCTGGTTTGAACATCATTCGGGGAATTCTCCAATCAATCAAGTCTATACTGTTACACATGGAGTTGGTTTTTCTGAGGCGACTGAAGAGGCAGGTTTGGCCCTCGACTCTTTGGGCGATCAAAGTTCGTTGGAATCGGCAAGAAAAGGAGCACGGGACAGGACGTTGCTGATGCTGGGGCTCACGAAATGAAAACACATCATTTTCGACTTGCAAAACAAACGTTGGTGCGAAAATTCGACATTTTGATGTTCGACAAATGAACGAAAAACGCTGTACCGAAATTCGGAATGCAAAACCTCACTAAATTATTATTAATACTTCGTAGATCTACTTGCAGCTTGGTCAAAGAAATAAGACTCGGCGTTTTGACCGCACCGTGTCCTGTACGTAGATCTCCCAGGTGTCCGCGAGGATTATTTTTTTCATAATCCCCGTAGCTACGTAGATCTACGTGGCGCTGCGCGCCTTGGGGATTTGAAAAATAATCCCCTCGGAACCGTGCAATATTATAAACTCTCCGAAAAGTGAAGCATCGTTCGGCGCCCTGTCACGGCCCTAGCTAGCTGGTCACTAGTCACTGAGTCTGTTGTCGACGATGTCGTGTGTTGTCGTGGTGTATTTTTATTTTTCTGTTTTCTGGTTTGATCGCACACTACAAAAATTGTAAACTATGTCACTGTCTTGTGTTACAAACTGCGTTACCAAACATGTACTGTAGTGGCTATGTCTCGTCTTCAAAGTGGATAAAATACTGGAAACGTTGTGATTGAGCAATGGCTAGTTCTGGGTACCCATACAAACTGAGCCGTGGCGAGGAGCGCCGGCTAGTTTCAAATCTGAAAAGGTCAACAGCTTCTCATCTGACTCCAGGAAATGCGCACGTGAAGAATCCGTCAATAGCTGCTGGTTCTGAAATCACACAGGCGAAAAGTGTGCGTGAGAGCTCAGATGATTCGATAGGATTTACGCACGTGGCTGAACCTAGCATTGGCAATTCTCGGGATGTCCGACAATCAGCAGGAAAAAGGCAGCTGGCCAGTGCTAATGAGACTGTGCGTAAGACATCAGCAACTGGGCCCAACAGTGGTGATGCTGCTACACCAGCTGATGGCAAGAAAACAAGACGCGGGCAGCATGGAAATGACGCCGTGAGTGCCTCGGGCAGAGGCCCTTGTGCCAGCGCCACCGGCCGTTATTCAGACTCCGTTGAGCCGGCCGGCAGGCAACCGGCGGCCGAGGTGAATCAGGCTGTGGCGAGTCGGGACGGCGGCGTCTCCAGGAATCCGGTAGCAAGGACGCGCCTTGCTCCAACGTTCAGCGCATCACATGTACCCCCGGCGGCGGCCGACAGTGGAGCAATGGCCAGCCACTCAGATCTGCCACAAAACATCTCTCTCAGCCAGCAACGGCCGGCCGCACCCGGTGGCAACCAAATCAGAGCAACCTCGTCACCGATGACAGATCTTGCGGAGCGAAAGGACCGCCGCCTTCGCCAGAAGCCGAGACCTTGGCTGCGTGCCGATAGCAGTGAGGATGAGTGTGCGGATCGGGGTGACGAGCGTTTGGGCTCGGAGCGACGTCGCAGTCGCACATCTCCTGACAACAATGACAGCTTTGAAGAAACGGACAACACGACATCGGGATATGACCAATCTAGCTCCGACTCGTCCGCGACTACTCCTGAAGATGCAGGCGGTGCCGCGGGGGACTGCCCAGATAGTGATTATCTTGCCTCGCTGTCTAGTGAACAACTGGAGGGCTTGGTTTCGCAGAGTCCAGGCAGTGACGTGCCACCAACACATCTCCAGTACAGGGGCAGTGCTGCGCGACCATTCACCGGAAGATCGCAACCAAGCGGAGCAGAGGCAGCTGCGGCAACAGATTTTGGCACACCAGATGCAGCTGGTGATGATCTGGCCGAGCAAATCGAGTTGGAAAAGACATTGGAGGCTTCATTGGCCTTCACGAGAAGTCAGCGGCGTAGCGCGCAAAGCCGTTCAGTGCCGCTGCCCGCGAGTAGAGCACAAAATGCTGGAACCCAGCGCACCTCAAAGCAGCCGCAAGCCACTGTGAAATCTGTTGCAAAAGTAGCTCCATCCCTTGGACTAGCTTCAACCGAAAGGCGACATCAACAACAGAAGCAGCAAGAGTATCTCTCAGATGTCGAGCCACGATTGCCGTCAAGTAAAGACAATATCGACTTTGATCGGATACAAACACGGGTCATGCACGAAGTGAAAGCGCACAATCTCAAGTCCGACTGGAGCACCAGGCCAGAACAGTTCCTTGACCCATCAGACGGCATTCAGTATGCGCACGGTTGTGAGCACTCGGAGAGTTTGGAATTTGACGGACTTCTACTGGACTTTGGCGGCTACCGTCTGCCACAGCAGGGTGACGCGGAGTGGACCGATAGCAACGTGATGATTCGTCCTATGCCCTTCTACTCATGCCTGCATCGTCTACCGGTCTCGGAGGCCGATAAGCGTGGCCGAGTGCATGCCAGAGCGTGGGACGAAGCCAGCGGTCGGGCCGTCGTCAGCTCAGATATCACTGTGCCTGTTCGATATGCTGTGTGCGTGCGTGGCCCACTGGAGCTTGATGATGGTGTGAACGCTGAGGTCGAGATTGAGGGTCCAGGCAAGGCCGCCGCAGAGAATATTGCTCGCATTTGCCGAAGCCTGGAGTTTCGTGCGTACAAGACCTACGGAGACCCCGCGCTGCAGGAGGTACGGATTGACATTCGTGTCCTCGAAGAGACGGACGCTATTAACTGTCTGAACGCTATACGCGATCAGATCCACGGTATGTATTACCGGCGCGAGGCGACGCGACTTGAGGAGTGGCGTGTCCGTTTCCGAGACCTTGCGCCGCGCGAAGGCTCGAGCTTCACCAACGCAAAGTCGTGGTACGGCTGTGCAATGAACGCTGCCCATCAGCTGGCGGCCAAGAGCATCTTCAACTTCTACAACTTTGCTCGAAGTCCGTCGCAGGTAGATCTCCATCACCTTCGAGTGCATCACCGGGAAGCCGAAGCGCATCTCAAGCAGGCGATGGTGGGTATATCTGAAATGGCTGTGGACAGCAGAGAAAGCGAAAAGTACCTGGAGGTAAGTGATTCCAGAGCTGTTCGCATGCTTTGAAAGGTCGGCAACAGCCGTCGGAACACGCTTGTCTTCTCAGAATGGAGAAGTTGTGCACGATGAAAAATGCGTAAGATCTTGTCGTTCGGTCTGGAGTAACGGAAGTAGTGCGAGCTTCTTATCGAATTTTGATGGAAAAGAGCTCAGGGAACGAAAGCTACTTGCGTTGCCATTACCATAATGGCATATAGTGACGTGCGAAAGTTGCACACTGGTGTGTACAAGCACTGTCATGATTGACGCCGCTCTACACCTATGTGCCGCACTCGGAAGAACGTGAAGAGCCCGCTGTTGCGCAACAACCGAATCAACCGATTTTCATAGCCTTTTTCGCTGTTGCCTGAGCCGTCGAACAGTACGAAACTTCGTGATGCGCCACCTCTCCACTTAGGGTTATTCGCTGTAAACCAGCGGGTTCCACCAAGCTATGGTGGGAAATGTACGTACAGTCGACTCCTGATACAACGAACACTATTGTGTAGGAGAATTAGCTCTCTATAGCGGAAGTTCGTTATAACAGAAATTCGCTTACACCGTGGGTTCAAACAGGGACATGGACAGCGGTTCGCTATATCACGGAATCCGCTGCACTGTAGTGTCGTGTATAAATGCAGTTTAATCCCATTTACTGTAAGACATGTATATATAACGAGGAAGTAAATCTAACGTTTTAACGGATGACATTTCTTCGTTATAATAAGATCCGTTGAGGCCGTACCGCTTCATATATGTTGTGTGTGGATATGCCGGAGTGCTGCAAGATCGTTAACATTATCTTCTCGTTAACCTACGAATTTTGGACAATCGTTAAATTTGCGACTCGTTATAGTAACATGTCTTACAGTATCAGGTCCCCTAACTCATCAGTTGAGGACTCTTTAAGCAGATACACAGCACATTTTGTTCAGCACAGTGCAGTGCATATTTTCTTATCCTGTTCTCTAGGTCCTCGGGATATCTGGCCCCCTGCTCTCCTTTGACAGTTTGCACATTATGGTTGTGGCGTATGTTTCTGGTGCACTTGTGCTACAATGCGGCAGGTGATAGCGGGCAAGGGCATCCACAGCCGAGACAACCAAGACGGAAGACTGGTGAAGGAGGTGAAACGACTGCTCCGTGCCTGGCACAAGCAACCACCGTCGGGTGTCAGCCACTACATACAGGTCCGCGAGGTCAACCAGGGCAGCTTCCTGGTGCTCTTTGCTCCCTACAATGGCCCGTCGCCTTGCTTTGGCGTCTTCTACTGCCACATCGCCGAGGACGATGAGGACACTGAGTTCACTCAGTGGCAACGGCCATGCCACCACACGTGGGACAGTATACGCGTGTTTGTGGACATCGACAAGCGAACTCAAAAGCCAGTCAAGTATGTAATAGCTAGGGGGTACTGTTGAGCTATGTTTTTAGCTTTCAGTGCCGCTGGCAGATATTATGTGTGCGTGTGTGTGTGTGTGTGTGTGTGCATGTGCGTGCGTACGTGTGCGTGTGTGTGTGTGTGTGTGTACGTGTATGTGTAACCTCTCCGACAGTACCTTTCTGGGAGCGGCGTGGCCATTTCTGGCAGCTGTCAATAGTAGTAGTAGTAGCAGTGTGTCTGTGTGTGTGTGTGTGTATGCGTGTGCTTGCCTGCGGCATTTTTGGGAAGCGTTTTGCACAAACCGTTATGTGCACCAATGTGTACCTTTTTGTCAAAGTGTTTGGAATATCTATGTGTCACTGATGGCTATGTGCCTGTAATTGTCAGTATCAGAGCATTGCTGTGTATTTTCCGTAGTATAAGCCACACATTAAATACCAGTAATTCACCCCCAGATAAACCGGTGCGTCTCATACTACGATGGTCAAATTTAATGTTGATAAATAGGGTAGATGTCTGTATTTCGTGACGAAAAATCTGGATGCGGCTTATACTCCAGTGCGGCGTATACTCCGGAAAATAGGTTGCCGACGTGAGCTGCAGTAGTGGCTATGATTGTGTACAGCAAAACTGAACATAACCAGAAGAGTGCTTTTGATTGGGGTCCTGAGCCATACTGGGACTCAGAACCATTATCACATGAGAATGCACACAGTGAAACAATGGTCACATTCTGCACTGTGATGTTCCTGCGAAGCAAGGCTGCATTCCCGAAAGTCAGTGTCTGTGTGCTTTTGTGTGTGTGTGTGTGTGTGTGTGTGTGTGTGTGTGTGCGCGTGTGTGTGTGAGCGTGTGTGTGTGTGTGTTTGCACATGTGTGTATATTTGTGTGTGTGTGTGTGTTTGTATGTGTGTTTGTGTGTCTGTGTGTGTGTTTGCACATGTGTGCATACGTGTGTGTGCTTTTGTACCTGTCTGTGTGTGACTCCATGTTTCCCCGTGACTCTGACAAAGGAATTGGCGGCAACGCTGCTACCGTTGCTTCAAGAGGAACGACCGAATGGATGTAGAGTGCCTGCGCTGGATGGAACCTGTGATGCTGAGCCAACGGCGCCCGTCACATCGCCTAGGTAGACTCTTCGTGATGGAGTACTCGGACAATGCGCACAGGACCTACGCTACGCATGACCCCGAGCTGTGCGAGCTATGTCTGCATCTCCAGCGGACCGGCAATGGCCAGAAGTCGTGCGATACACTGCCCAGGGCCATACGTTACCGTTAGTTCTGCGCAGCGTGCTGCACAGCAGCTTGCGTGTGTCCCAATCACACCACCGTGGCGTGCAGTACACCGACGTCAGCACCATGCTGCCCGGCTTGTGTTGTTTTCCGGTCGCCCATCGGCCAAGTACGTGTGAGCACTACTAGTATTGTGCTGCTTTCAGTGCGTCTGGTGTGTGTGTGTGTGTGTGTGTGTGTGTGTGTGTGTGTGTGTGTGTGTGTGTGTGTGTGTGTGTGCGTGTGTGTGCGTGCGTGTGTATGTGTGTGTGAGTGTGAGCATTACCGGCCTCTTGCTGTTTGCAGTATGTTTGGTTATTTCCCGGAGTGCATGTGGCCAAGTCCGTTGCCGGACGCAGGACCGACTCGGCATGCCGCATCGTGATCATTCACTTGTGCAACTCCCCTCGAACCTATCTCTATTTGCTGATGAGGTAGTTGTGTTGATGTAATCGTTGCTACACATAGAGTGCATAGAGTGCTTCAAGCACAAACTACTGTCTGTTTTTTTCGCTGTACTTGTTTTATTCTAGCTGCACTGGAAATGAAAACGGACTACGACTCTAAGAACTGAAGAAAAAGAAAAATCTATCAAATAGTTCAATTAAAGCAGCAAAGCAACACGCCACCCGACTTGGGTGGGTCAGAAATATCAAAGATAACTGCGGAAGGGGAAGCTTTGCAGACACAAATCGAGCAAAACAACACGCCAAAATCTAACGGTACTCCTCATGCGTGATACTGTGGTGGAGGAATTGACTACAATAACAAGTCCAGTGCAGCTCAATGAAATCCAGTAGCAAGAGTCAAGTTGGTGCTGTGCACCTTTTCGCAGCCCAGTATTCACAGGTCTAGGGCTGGGCAACGCCCCGCGCGTACTTGAGGAACTCGACTGGATTTCATTGAGGAACTCGACTGGATTTCATTGAGGAACTAGACTGGATTTCATTGAGGAACTCGACTGGATTTCATTCAGCAGTACTGTAGTTTCACACGACATACGATTTGGTTTGTAGCGTCTCATCAGGTGTGCACAGTTTAATTAACTCGGTTACTGAGCAAATTTTAAAGAAAACACATGTGGGTAGGAGTTTATTCGTAACTCTGCCCCACCCAAGTTGGGTGGGTGGTATGTTGCGATGCTGCGTCGAATTGTAGTTAAGTTCGACCGCATTGTCAACAGCATTGTCAACTACAATATTTTCATTGACTTCTTACCAATTTTCCCATCCCTACAACTAGTGCCGAGTTTTCTATAAGTAAGATGAGATGGGTCGTCTTCACCAAGCGCACATCAGAAGGAATTAGAATGTAAACTAACCAGAACCTGTTCTAATAGGCCAATACCAAGCAAAAGAGAATATGTTTCAAAAGCTGACTAAAAATCGCACCTAAATTGGCACACCATGCTAATTGTATAATTGTATAGTGATAATTGTAGGGTGATAATAATAGTATCACTCTTCAATTATAACGAAGATAGTGATTAGTGAGAGACAGCTAACTACTCTAATTTCAGAAATTTTCGGTGCTCAATATTTTCGATATGAGAGCAAAAAGCTAGGTTAGGTGAACAGAAATTTTCGGTACAGAGAAGCAGTTCCCTATTGGGTTATGTGTGTTAGTGTTTGTTCGGTGTATTGAAACTTTAGGTATGAAACAGACGCACCGAAAGTACCGAAAATAACAGTACACCGAAAATTTGTGCAATTACAGTATAGAATACTGAGCGACATGTAAGACCAATTGTGAATCACTCTACATTCACCATGGTGTACCTGTCCACTTATGGTAAGAAGTTCTAGTCAGCTTTTGAAATAATTATATTCTCTTTTGTTTGGTATCATTAGCTATGACAGAATCCACTGATGCCGGATCGTCATGAGAAAATGTTCTGGTTTCTTTACATTTGAATTCCCTGTGATGTGTGTTTGGTGATGACCACACATCTCATCTTGCTATATTCTCTGTACCTTATCCTGTTATACAATGACCTGTAATACAATGACTGTGTTTAGGAGGAAATATTGGTTCTGATATTTTTTTAACCCTTCTTTGTTTTTTCAATACCACATGTGCTTCGATAGTAATGATCTCAACTGACGCCCGACACCAGTGATAGTGTTCAACTCAGTTATATTCACCCAATAATACAAGTACACCGCCTAATACCAAGAGTACACGGGGGTTATGTACTCTTGCTAATAACCAAACCACTATGATCTCATACGACTTTTGAAAAACTTCCGTGCCCCCCCCCCCCCCCCCTCTCTCTCTCTCTCTCCCCTGAATGTAGTGTGTGGGCTGTGCGATGTGTCCACGCCTGCAGACCGGTGCGGCCGGGTTGATTTACCTCTTCGCCGGTAACTGCAAGTTTTGTTGTGTTCTTTTATCTGTTTTACTGCTGTGGTTGGCGTTCACCCTTGTCTCAGTTTTACTGGCCGTCATCATGATGTGCCATGAGATAATGATATAAATACAAAAGCACCCTTCTTGCTCTCCATATTGTTGTCCTCAGCTAGCGGGCGGCCCCTCTAAGCACTACACTGCCCATTCATTCAAAACTGGCAACCTGGTGCCGTAAATCAAGTTGTTAGTGTCTCCCAGGGCTGGCGAGCCACACGCCCTAAATACATGTACATGGCTACATTCAAGAGTACATAACCGGTTATGTACCAGGCGCATGCGCCGGTGCCCTTCAAGGGGAGGGGTCTGCCCCAGGAAAATTTCAAAAAATGAAGCAAAATCCTGCATTTTGAGCGAAAAAAAGGGGTTCCGGGCACCCAGGAACCCATACGGGGCACGCGCCTGTGTACTCTTGCTACATTGCAGTACGGCACTTTCTATTCTTCTGGCTAGTACTGCCGAGTACATGTACTGATCAGGTAGACGTCATTGTCATTGTCTCGTCAATACTGGTACATCTGTATTTTGACAACTCCCTGAGTGCTGAGTACATGACTGCATGGCGACATATGTCACATATCCCTGAGTCGGACACGGTGACAGACAGTATAATAATTAAAAATATTTATCATAGTGACGTAATGACTACCCAACATCAGAGTCATGATGACGTGACGTGACGTAGGGCTGAGCTGCTACGCGTATACGTACGTGTGTGTATGCATGCACTGTGCACGTGCTTGCCACACAAAAAAACAAACTGACACATCCACGCTAGAGCTGAAAATACTGCCTTCGGTTCGGATTGCCTCCTCGTCTGTTGCTGTTCAGGCTCCTATGAAGGTCTACGTGGATTAGATGACCGTTCTCATGTATGTATCTTTCTTGCCAACCGGCAATGGAGCTAGTTTGCTGTTGGGGCAGTCGAGGAGAAGGAGGACATCAGGTGAACGATATAATAATATCTCAAAATTTCGAATTAATTGCGTGCAGACTTTTCAATAGAGATTATTACACTAGCATCTACAGCGGCATACAACAATGGAGAGTGACGGGGAGAATGAGCAAACTGTGCCTTTCGCTCCTGATGAATGTAGTAATGACAACCGGAGTGTTAGCTCTATTCATCAGACTTGCTCTGAGGACTTTCGTGATGGTGACCTGAATGTCACAAAAGCTTTCTATGGCATCCTCATGGCCGGAATGGCATTCCTTTTACCATTCTTACCAGTTTTCTACAAGATGAACGGTATCACAGCGTCGGAAAACGGTCTCCTTGGTGGCCTACGTCCCTTAGTGAATTTCTGGAGTGGTCCCCTGTTGAGTGGGCTAGCTGACAAACTGCAGCGTCGCAGACTTATTCTCTTCATCAGCGCTATCCTCTACGCCATGATCACGTTCAGTATATGGTTCGTACCAGCGGCTGAGCAAGTGGGTTGCGGTGCCTCGGCACACTGTGTGCTTGACGGCGTACCACCCATCACCGGGGGCAACGCCACGATAGCCACAACGAGCTCCAGAACATCGTTGCCATGGAAACACTCAGCTATGACCGGACTTTCATCATCCACTGCAATTTCACCAGGCCTATCAACTGAGTCATCAGATGCTAACGCCACATCATCCCCTATCCCGATCGAACAAGGCTCCTCTGGAAGCCATACTAGAACCCTGGCATATTTTGTTGTGATGATATTTTTCAGTGAACTGGTGGGCGCCCCAGTGCTCCCCTTGACAGATACGATTGTCCTGGAGACTCTCGGCCACCAGCGCATTTCACAGTTTGGTCGCCAGCGCCTGTGGGGAGCCGTGGGTTATGGAATCGCTAATGCCGCGGCTGGCTTTGGATCTAGCTCATTGGCCGACTCCTGCGGCCGGGGCAATTATACTGTTCACTTTGTTGGTTTTGCCGTCCTGTATGTCATCTCGTTAGCGGCTGCACTGAAGCTGAAGGATACTTACCATCCGCTGAGCGCTAAGACTACAGCAGCTACGACAGTACAAACAAGAATCCGAATCGGCCGAGGTTTGCGCTTGGCTCTGTGCAACGCCCGCGCAATCTGCTTTCTTGTCGCTGTGTTCTTCTTAGCCATTGCGATGTCCATCGTCGACAACTTTCTATTCTGGTTCCTAACAGAGCTGTGCGCTTCCGAACTGCTCCTTGGTCTCTCTATTCTGACCATGTGCATGTCAGAAATCCCGCTGTTTCTTATCGCCGGGCGAGTGATCAAGCGCTTTGGCCACACGACGGTCCTGGTGTTTGTGCTGGTGTGCTACGCCATTCGATTCCTGGCGTACTCGCTGCTGGAGAACCCCTGGCTAGTCATGCCGATAGAACCACTACACGGTGTATGCTTTGCACTGATGTGGTCCTGCTGTGTGTCCTACTGCAAGAAAATAGCGCCGCCAAATCTGGAAGCTACTCTGCAGGGTGTGCTTAACGGCTTGTTTTGGGGCGTGGGCCGCGGGACGGGGGCCGTGCTTGGTGGTTTCGTGTACCATCACTTTGGTGCCCGCTGGCTGTTCCGTTCCTGCGCAATCATGTGCTGCATTGTGGCAGCGCTGTACCTAGTGTCGGAGAGAATCATTCGCCAGTACGAGCGGCGACACGGCACGTTGATTTCCGGTACGGCGAAGCTCGTCGACGGCATTGAGCTCAACGAACATGGCCTAACGTTGGACGACGACAACGACGGTGAGCTGAGTAATGGTGCGCCTGTCATTAGCTACCGTTCGGACACCACCCATGCTGTTAACGGTAGAGTACACAACGGTATAGACGACTTTACACTGGTATCGTCCGACGCTGACAGGGCCCTCGATATCGCCACCGCTGAGAATGATGAATTTGAACAAGACGGAGACATTGAAACTGCGCTCCTCTAGGCTGACTCTGATACACCATCATGTTCATGAAGACTAGTCCTATTTTATTTTTTTACTCCGCTCTATTTCACCTCCCACCGCTTTAGCAGCTGCATCTGCACCTTGATCCATATAGGGTAGTGGCGTTCAGCCGATTCTCAGAACCATCAATGGCTTTTTTTGTATTTTATTTTGCTCACTGGGCTCGCTGAGCCTGAGACTGGACAAACTACGGAGTCATGTTCTGTTCTAGACTTAGAGAAACCATCCACAGGTGCTAGTGCCGCTCTCACTGAGACTGGACAAACTATGGAGTCATGTTCTGTTCTAGACTTAGAGAAACCATCCACAGGTGCTAGTGCCGCTCTCACTGAGACTGGACAAACTATGGAGTCATGTTCTGTTCTAGACTTAGAGAAACCATCCACAGGTGCTAGTGCCGCTCTCACTGAGACTGGACAAACTATGAAGTCATGTTCTGTTCTAGACTTAGAGAAACCATCCACAGGTGCTAGTGCCGCTCTCACTGAGACTGGATAGGCAGTCGCTTGCACAACAAGCCCGGCCAATTGATTATAACTCGGTACGCGGCTATAAATTTATCTATTCTCATCCAGCTGGTCTGGGTTTAGTAACTGGACTGTTGCAATTCAAAGTCCACCATATCCTGCCACTTTTTTGATATGCTTTCATCCATCAACATGATCAACCTGGTGATGTTCTTGTCCAAAACCCACTTAAAGGGGAAGTTAAGGCAAAAATTAAAATTTCACCAGTTGTAGTCTTCGGGCTGCTGAGTCGAATGGTCTTGGTCCGAGAAAGCTGAGACGCTCCCTTCCTACTTGAATCCCAATCGAACTCGCGCACTTCCACCGAAACTGGGTGACTGCACCCTACTAGATGGGGATTTGTATGCAAAATGTCACTAAAAGCGCCGTTTCGTTCTTATAAAAGCACGGATGACCGCGATTGGCCCATATGTTGTAGTCTTTTGGACGCTGAGTCGCCTGGTTTTGGTCCGAAAAGGCTGCGATGCAGCGTTCCTCCTTTATTCCCAATCGAACATGGCTGAACAAGCGGTCACGTGCTCCTGGGTGCCCAAATCACCTGGTCACCACGCCAGCAGGCGAGAACTTTCACACCAAGGTTCAACTTGAGTTCAACTCGAGTGACAGGACTGCACCCAAAAAAGGTCAAACAGGCTAGTAAGTTGTACCCTGCAGGCACGGTGACCAGCCGACTGGTGTGCGCAGGAGCACGTGACCGCTTGTTCAGCCATGTTCGATTGGGAATAAAGGAGGAACGCTGCATCGCAGCCTTTTCGGACCAAAACCAGGCGACTCAGCGTCCAAAAGACTACAACATATGGGCCAATCGCGGTCATCCGTGCTTTTATAAGAACGAAACGGCGCTTTTAGTGACATTTTGCATACAAATCCCCATCTAGTAGGGCGCAGTCACCCAGTTTCGGTGGAAGTGCGCGAGTTCGATTGGGATTCAAGTAGGAAGGGAGCGTCTCAGCTTTCTCGGACCAAGACCATTCGACTCAGCACCCCGAAGACTACAACTGGTGAAATTTTAATTTTTGCCTTAACTTCCCCTTTAAAACGTAGTGCAATTACAACCAGTTGAGATGCTTTGAATGACAAAGCTACCTCGCAGCGATGCACTAGCAGTGCTGGTTGGTCGCTCTTCTCTTCTTTTTGCCACTCAATACGCGATGTGTACTAGCGAATCTTCCATGCTCATTCCTCTATCCACCATTCAAAACTTGGCTTCCATAAGCAAATATGCCGTACACTTTCCTCTTCTCGCCACTCAACTCTTCGCATTCATAAGCGAATCTGCTATACTTCATCCGTTCTAATCGAATCTGGTGACTCACCCAATGGCATCATTCGCACAACGCTGATGTGCTGTGGTACGGTAACGTGGTGGTGATGGGGGGGGGGGGGGGGGCGTAGATGCACAAGAAGAAACCCTTCTCATGACACACTGCACTGTATGTACTGCACTGTAAAAATGAGTGAAAAATCTTATTTTCGAAAATTAATAGTTATTTCAGTGCTGACTGGTACATGTAACAATGGTGTGCCATGCCCGATATGCACTCATGATCTAAGCATTACCTACTATACTGTCTACTGACTGAGTACTGTACCTACACACATACAGACTAGTCCCAGTACTAGTACAAGACATGATTGTACTAGTACCATGAGTACTGGACCAGCACCTGAAGAATACATGTAGGCTGTAGCAGATACTTCCTGCCCCGCACGGCCCATGCATTCAGTCACAGAATCAGTGTCTGCAGGCGTATGACTGTCGATGCAGGATGTGGTGCTTGCTGTTATTCAGCGAGCCGCAATATTAATAATTTGTGCTCGCCCTGAAAAAGCAATACCGTTTAGTACTTGCAGGTAATGTACATGCGCATATGCGACTCGCATAGTGGTGAGTCAGGGGAACTGCTTATGGGTGCTATTTAAATTATACAGTGCGAGTCACTAGACTAGTGCATCCCCCGTTACCGTTTGCCAAAGCAAGCATCCCACCATAACCTTTTATAGGCCACAAGCCAGACGGCAAGAGGGTGCGCTCCGCCCAGCGTTTGATGAAAAGCTGAACGAGTGCAACGCAAGGGCGCATGAGGGTGATGGTGACGACACCAGTGTTAGGTCGACGATGGGAAGTACAGTGACTGTACAGCGGAAGCGCTAGACTTTGATGAAAGTCCCCACATACGATGAGAAGCAACCACTGGAGCGTTGTCTCGACCTGTTCGAGGACATCTGTGCCAAGAACGGTATCCCGACGGTTCACCGAAAACGCGTTCACAGAACGACCAATGGAAAATGGAACGGAATCTAATCCTGAACACTAACAAAAGCCATGTCATCCGAATTTCCGGCCAAGACATTACTGTCAAATTCCGTGGAAACTCGCTACCAGTAGTTTCCCACGCGAAGTATATGGGCATCACGATAGACGAGCACGTTCGATTTGATGAACACGTTACCGATGCTGAGAAGATGGGAGCACTCTGGAGAGCCCGCCGCTGCCTTACAAGAAGGTCCAGAGAACAGTACGTGAAATCCGTTGTGATGCCAGATTTGCTCCACGGGTCCGTGGCGTTCTCTGGTTGCCTTCGACAAGACCAGCGGCCTTCAGGTCCAAAACCGTGCGGCACGCCCGGTATTCGGCCTGTTTCACAAAAGAGTGAACCGTGACGGTTGTACATGTACTGTAAAGAAATATTCCTGTGCTCTCACATTAGCGCAACACATTAGTGCCTCCAAATGGCACTTGTCCGATGTCCCAATGTAGCGCCATTTTTTTGATGTTTCACGATTGTAAGCGCAGCGCTACTCTTGAGGCAGTACGCTAAACACCGCGCTTCATCACGCTTTATAATACTGTGGTTCATTCTATGGAGGTCATTCTTTGCCGGACAATCCTTCAAAGTTACTATGGCTCTACCGTGCAAAACAACGAAAGGTGGGGAAGGCGCTTCGTACAACGGCTATATCTATAGAAAGGACAAACGGAAGAGAGACGGGACCATCACGTGGCGGTGTACTGAAGCTGCTTGCAGAGGGAGGCTAATGCCAACGGATGTGTTGCTGGAAGACGAAGAAGACTCGTCCCCGGAAGAAGTGGGACTAAAAGCACTATCAGTATCACCCTCCAAATCCTGAGGCAACTCAAGTCCGTGGGATAGTGACAAGACTGAGCCAGACAGGAATCCCTTTCTATTCCTTCTATTTACCGGCTAGAGACAGCGAACATCGCCCTAAATGTTGCCGCTGCCATTACGTCCTTTCATTCACTGGACGCCAGCCTCCTTAGATGTAGGAGAGAACGCTATCCGCCTTTGCCGCAGACCAGGGCAGCCATAGTCGTGGCAGACAGTTTCCGCAACACTGTAAACGGCGAACGATTTTTCCTTGCTGGCTTGAATGGCAACGACACCACGCTGGTGTTTGTGTCAGATGCAGATTTGGGTGTGAGATTGTGGAACAGTGAAGAGTGGTTTATCGACGGTACCTTCAAAGCAGTGCCCCTCCTCTTCATGCAACTCGTAACAATCCATTGCATGAGCGGAAACAAATGCCTACCCTTGGTTTATGCTCTTCCTTCAAGGAAGACTAGGCAAGCTTATACTGATTTACTTCGGTGTTTGAAAGATGCAGCTAAATAACGTGGCCTTGTGCTGCAGCTCAATGCGATCATCAGCTATTTCGCGTCAGGATTGGCACCCGCTATCACAGAAGAGTTTCCCGACGCAATCCATGGTGGATGCTACTTCCACTTCTGCCAGGCTGTTTATCGAAAGGTCCAGGCGCTAGGCCTTCATCAGGTGTATCGGCAGAACGTTGAAATGAGGTCGCTAGTCAGAAGCATGAATGCATTAGCATTCTCGTCAGTAATGAACGTCACCGAAGCCTTCGAAGCCCTACGCGAGGAGCAAGCAGCCAACTTCCCACAGCTAGATGACCTTTTTCCAATACTTCCAGCAGACATGGATCGTTGGCTGCCCACTGCAGCGATGGAACATAGCCATACTAGGTACAAGAACAAACAACCACGTGGAAGGTTGGCATTTTCGCTTCATGGCCATAAAAGGTTCACCCAAACCTTTGGCAGGTCATTGAGGCACTTCAGAAGGAGGCATCGGCCACCTCAACTACGCTGCAGCAAATCGCTGCTAGGCAACCAGTCCGAAGAACAGTGAAGAAGTATGCCAGGTTAAACGAGCGAGTATTGAACTTGCAAGGAGGACTCCACCGTGGGGAAATGACGACAAGGGCCTTCCTGGAAGGTGTAGGATACAATCTGCTACAGTAATTACTACGAGTACAATTGCTGTTTACTTGCACAAAGTGGATGTTAACTGCTATCGAACGAAGTTACTGCAAACGTTTATAACCGCAATCAATAAAACTAGCTGAACCGACATTTGTGTACTTTTCGCGCTCACACAAAGTCTCATTTAGGGTTCCCAGTAAAAAGGCAACATTGCCTGTTGGGAAATCCCTAACAAAATAAGAAAAATAATAATAATAATGAACGAAGAGTCGGAATACGCACCGCAACAATCAGGACTAGCCAGCAGATGATTGTACACTGAAGACTTGCTACCACGAAACCTACGCACAACACTAACACTCTCACCGGCACTCTCACCATCACTCCCATCACCGCTCTCCGACTCACTGCTCCCTCCGCCGTCCGTTCCATCCTCCGCTTCCTCTGTACTCTCTCTGTCTCGTCCATCCCGCCTGACCGGGCCCATTGAACTCAACTCGGCCGTCCCCCTGCTATCACGGTCAGGCGGGATGGACGAGACAGAGAGAGAGTACAGAGGAAGCGGAGGATGGAACGGACGGCGGAGGGAGCAGTGAGTCGGAGAGCGGTGATGGGAGTGATGGTGAGAGTGCCGGTGAGAGTGTTAGTGTTGTGCGTAGGTTTCGTGGTAGCAAGTCTTCAGTGTACAATCATCTGCTGGCTAGTCCTGATTGTTGCGGTGCGTATTCCGACTCTTCGTTCACTGTATTGTGCCGTGGTCGTCATGGTTATGGACTACAGTTAAAAGTGTTGGAATAATAATAATAATAATAATAATAATGAGGAGTACTGTAGGAGTTTGGCTTTCGGCTTGTACAATTCGTTTTCGCAAAGCTTCCCTTTCTTTACTTATCTTTGATATTTATGACCCA